CTACGCTTGAAAGTCATATCGGAGTAGAAAGCTTTAATATAATTAACCGGGATATGAGATTCATGAATTGTCACAACATTTATCAACCCCGAAGAACGAAGCTTAGACAAAACTGGTTCATAAGAAGTATCTCGCTCAAAATCAACAAGTTCAACATAACGAGGGGTGATAATTTTCCGGGGAAGTACATTGTCACGATAGAAATTCAAAGCTTCTTCACTATCAAAGAAAATTCTAGGGTTGAGAGCAAATTCGAACCTTTGATTTTCGTTTGAAGTAGGAGGTTGGGAAGAGGAGCCCGGATGAGTAGCTTGAGTAGAAGGCCGTGAAGTCCTCTTCTTGGTGCGAGAAGCCATGAATTCCGGTAGGAGAAGTGGCGAAGGAGGTGATGAGACGCCAGAGAAGATGAAGAACTGCGACCTAGGGTTTGTCGCTGAGAGAGAAAGAGGCGCGATTGGGTTTTTGTGAGAGATAGAAGCTTTGACTGAATGAAGACCTTTTAAAAATATCATATCTGATCTCATTTATTCGAATAGGGGGCCTCACTTATTCGAATAAATAAGGTTGAGCCGCGACACTGGAATTTTTAAGCAACAAACTTGTTCGATTAGTTTCCCAAACTATTCGAATAAAACACTGTAGCTGAGCAGTCCTTTGAAAATCTTCAAAAAACTAAAGTCAAAGTAGAATTCCCCCTCAATAAATGCTTCATATGGATTGAGAAAGAGGAGTGGATGGGTGAGAGCCTGCAAAAAAGAATTAAGGCCAATTCTAGTCTTGGAGCTCGTAAGCCAATTCTTGTCTTGGAGCTCGTAAGCCGACTTGCAAGATAATCCCTACGAAATGATCCAGGTGACTTGATTCAAAGATCCAAAGCTTATCCCACATATAAGGTTGTCATTATCAACATACAAGGGTCAACAAGTAGGACGGTCGACCGTCTAGGTGTAACGGTTCACCACATCGACCGTTCGTTACTGAGTGCGCAATTTTGAAATAATTTTGGTAAAATGTTAATAACTTTTTCAATAGTAATCAGAATTGAGTAATTCAAGAAACGGCGATCTAGTATTGAGAAGAGTTATAACGTTAGTTAAATATTTTGAAAAAATATATTTTTCGAAAATATTTACCAAATGTATTTTAAAATTAATAACCAAGTAAAAATCTTTTTTGTGTGTGTGCAAATTTTAGCTTGAGCTTAGAGATATATCATTCAAATATCTTTAACAATAAATGACTCTAAGCTATTCTATGCTAGTCCTGTGTGAGCGAACGTATTGACGCAATCAACGCGTTTTAGTGGATTTTGTCGTTCCTACACAATTGAACAAACGTTAGCTCAATTAAATTATTTGTTAACATTAAAACATGAGATTAAGCATACCAAGGCTAACACTTTGAGTCGTTACGAATGATAACATTCATTAGATTCTTTGAACAAGCCCATAATATTTAAGACCTTTGAGGATCATCATGGCTTCAACTTCCTCTACATTGTTATCCAGATAGTAGAAAGTAAAACCATCAATCCATTCCCTTGCCAATCTCGAATTACTCCACCCACACGAGAAGCGTTGTTATTCATCCCACCATCTACGTCTATAGCCATGAAGTCCTTCTCTAGTGCACCCCAACAATCTCAGCGTGTCAAGTATTGGTGTTCTTATGTAGTTTATTGAAAGAAAGTTGAAGTTATATCATCCTTATCAGTGAGAATGATCTTAATTTTTATCCACATGGGTGGTTTATCATCGTCAAAAATTCATTGATTCCTCCATTTTCAACAAAGCCAAACAATCACATCAAAAAGAATGGGCCAATCTTCATTTAAAGATGAACTTATGCTCTCGTTAGTTTATTTACTCCCACCATTTCTTAGTGTTTGATCGAATTTGAGATGGGGTATGGACAATTGGATTGAGTAATAAGACACTTGGGCCGAAACACATTAAAAGATTGAATCTAATTGATTAGTTAGTTCAACTCAAGAGCTTATATACCGATTATTTTGCTCTTGAATTTCTGATGTGGGATGACACTTTAACACTCCCCCTCAAGTGGACAACCGGGTTATTTTGAATCTAACCGGTTGACCACTTGCAAATAAACTCTCATTCCCTTGATTTTTTTAGCGTCAACACCTAAAGGACCACGAGCCGCTGGGTATGGACTTCTAGACGAGCAATCGTGTAAAACGGGCCACAGGCCGTTGGGTACATACTCCATACGGACAACTGGGCTAAAGACTAACGAGCCGCTAGGAATGAACGTCTAGACAGACACCTTGACAAACGAGGTGGACCAAAACCTGCTTTGATACCATGATCGAATTTGAGATGGGGTATGGACAACTGGATTGGGTAATAAGACACTTAGACTGAAGCACATTAAAAGATTGAATCCAATCGATTAGTTAGTTCAACTCAAGAGCTTATATACCGATTATTTTGCTCTTGATTTTCCGATGTGGGATGACACTCTAACAGTGTTCGTGCTGTTTATCCGACTCCATTCTCTAGTTGACAAAAATCTATTCCAGATTTGAGAAGCTCTTGGACAGTCTCTAAGGATATATACTACATCATCATTCTGGTGACCGCAAAATGTACATTGTGTACTCTTTGTGAAGCCTTTTTTTCTCCAATTTGTATTGCACAATAACTTACCTAGAATTTTCATCCAAATGAAGGCTACCATTATGTTTGATATCTTCATTTTTCAAAGTTTGGTCCACATTATATCCATTATATCATTATAAAATTTATTAAGTACTCTATGGATGATAAGAAAAGGAGGCATATGTCACACGAAAGGCAATCATTGAGTAAGTGTCATTTCCAACCAACAGTGTCTTGCTAATAATCTTTAACCATGCTATCTCTATTGATATTGTGTGTTATCAGCCACCATCTTGTCCAGGGACTTCTCGATTATCCACTTGTTGGTCTAAAAGTATGTATTTTTCCCATCATACACTAGCTTTTTAGTCCTTTTCGTGATGATAGAAAGAGCATTACTAATTCTCCGTCATTCTCCGCCACACATTCGAAGCACTCTGTTTCATATCAACAGTTGTCGGGTCCCATCACTTTCCAAAGTATTTAATGGCAAGGATTTTGGCCCACATTTGATTTGTGTCTGGAGCAAACCTTCACCTCAACTTTGCATGGAATGTTAGATTCAGGTGTCTAGCAGATCTGATTCCAAGACTCCCAAAATGCTTGGGTTTTATAACTTGCTTCCAGTTAACCAAGTGGCATCTCCAGCTTTCAGTACTGTTACTCCATAAAAAATCACCTTTTTATCAACGTTGTCATACTCCTTTTGGTAGGAGTGTTGTTTGCATGGCAAAATAGGGGATAGTGATGATAAGTGTAGCAAGAACTTACCACCCACCAAAATAAAGCCACTTCATTTCCCTTCCATCCAATCTACTGTTAATTCTTGAGACTTGATTAATATTCAAAAGAAAGAAAATGAATAAAGAAAAAAGTGAGACATAGTCGATTGGGAACATGCATACCATGTGCATGATTGTCGTTTTTTGTACTTTTTGTTTGACTATGGCTTGATTCAGTGATCTCAGTTGGCTATAAAAGCCATGAAGGCCGAGTAATAAGTGTGTGGGATTTTCAATACACCAAGATGGAAAGAGAAACAAGGAAGATGGTTATACACAAGAATATCATCGGGAAAATCCAAGGGGTCTTGGTAATTGTGGGTGAGTGTGCGGAGGAACTAGTAGTTAGTTACTCAGAAAAATGCATCCGGGTATAGGATGTGGAAAGGTCTGTTTGTGAGTGTTTGAATTTTAGCCTTATAAACAGACGGAATTTTTTTTGTATATTTTCTTGAAATAGTGGAAATATAATTTTTTATCTCGTATATATTCTTTTATATTTGTTCTCTCATTTTTCTGGCATTCTCAATATTTTCAGTGTCTTATGCGCTTAAAATCCCAATAATTGGTATCGGAGCTTGGTTGTACTACGCAGGAGAGATTTGTAAGGGGCAAAAGAAGAAATTTTGAGAACCTAGGGACTGGCCAACTTGGGCTAGGAGGCGACCATTGGACTTCAGGAACAAGGTGGATGGCACTGTGATTGGGTACCAAGTAGCGTGCTAGCTTTGTGAAGTATGGTACGACTACGAGAACAGGAACAGAGGAGACCCGTGGTCTAGCAGAGTAGAGATCTGCATTTTATGCCTTGTGTCGAAAGTCTTTCCGGTAGGAGGAGGTCGGGTGGCGTGTCCCGCAGGTGATGTTGCGGCGGTGCAAGGTGAGTGGATCGAAATAAGGTAATTGTTAGAGGGGTTGTCTCGAAGTTGTTACTCTTGGTTTGAAAAAAAAGTGAGTTGTTTTTTGGCACGAGGTGGAGGGTTAAAACTCCAAGGAGCTAAGATAGTGGCGGTGATTTTGACGGGTTGGTCAGGATGGAGTCACATGTACAACGGTAACTTGAAGTGGCGGGGATCTTGTGGTATCGAGCAAGGTGGAGCCAGGAAGGCAACACATCGTGATAGAGATCTTACGGTTTTGAGCAAGATGGGGTCACAAGAAAATTTTTAAGGTGGTGGTGATCTCGATGAATTGATCGAGGTGGAACCACATGAATTTTTTTTTGAGGTTGGCGGTGATCTCACGAGACATGTAAGGTGTAGTGACAAAGTTTTTTAATATTTAAACAAGGTGGAGTTTGTTGAGATTTGATTAATAATCAAAACAAAGAAAAATATGAATAAATAAAAAAAGTGAGACATGGCCGATTGGGAACATGCATACCATGTGCATGATTGTCCTTTTTTGTTTGGCTATGGCTTGATTGAGTGATCTCATTTGGCTATAAAAGCCATAAAGGCCGAGTAATAAGTGTGTGTAGTCTTCAACACACCAAGGTGGAAAGAGAAACAAGAGATTTCTACACAAGAATTAGAAAAGGGTCTTGCTGATTGTGAGTGTGTATATGGAGTAACTGATATTTAGTTACTTAGAAAAATACATCCGGGCATAGGATGTGGAAAGATTTCTTTGTGAATGTCTGGATTTTAGTCTTGTAAACAGAGGGAGAGTTTTTTGTATATTATCGTAAAATAGTGGAAATATATTTTTTTTCTCTCATATATTTTCTTATATTTGTTCTATCATTTTTTCTGGCATTTTCAATATCTTTGGTGTCTTACGCGCTTAAAATTTTAACATTAATGAGGTCTAACAAAGGTGTGGACAAGCTAGACTTCTTGCTCTTAATGCATGCGAACTTCGTGATGCCTTTTGCATCCTGCGGACTCACAGAAGAAAAAAAAATTGGAATTGGCTTATCCTGTCACTTATAAGTATCATTTGATTTTTTTTAATTATATGTTTTTTTTATTTTTTGGAAGTTAAATTTATTTATTCACCCCGTTTAATCTTATACAAAATATTTGAATGGATAGAATTGAAAATAAAATCAATTAAACATCATGAATCATGTGTCAAAAATCCAATGGGAGATCAATAACGGTTTAAAGCATACTATGCTCAGTTTAAAAGGCATTTCATGAAAGTTTTCCATTGCGTGGCTGACATTGGCATTGAGACCAGACCATTCTTTCTAAGGTTAAAACATAAAAGTTATACAGCAAAATACAATGAGCCCATCATCAATAATTCAATGCAAGGTGACAAATGATGTGATTGAGATCTCCTCAACCTTCCTCTCCAAACTCTTTTGTGAATCTCTCATGCACGTAGAGGTCTGATTTGCTAACAGTCGGTCTTTGACGTGCAAGAACCTTGTCAAAATCTGTCTTCGCGATGGGCGGTGGAATGATCTGCAAGCAGAGCAGACATAATGTCATATGTTGTTTATCTAGTGAGACGAGAAACTCAAATGCTCCATCCAAATTAGACATAAAAAAACAGGGAAAGGATGCATATTAAAAAGTATTAATGTGAAAATATATGGGTACGAATTGGACAGAAATTAAAGCAGTAGTGCAAAAACAACCAAATTACTTTGCACGTTAGGTTTTAATGTGTAAACAACCAAAAGCCTCCTGTGTTAAAATAATATATATACCTTAGAAGCAAGCCCTTTGGCAGCAAGCTCCTGCATTGTTGTCTGGACAGCACCTGATTGTTTCGGTCCACATGGCATCCATGTGCCATTGGAAGTCTTCATGAAGAACATAGCGTCTTGTGTCTTGCGTACAGGTTCAAAAAGGACATCCTTAACCTATTGAAGATACAATACAAACAAGAAATATAACGAAATGCCATTTTTTATAGATGCACGCCAATGGGGACCATTAGAGCAAACTTACACAAACTGATATATCTGAACCAGAAAACCCTTCTGTTTTACGGGCCAAATCTTCAAAATCACCTTCACTCAAATTGTGAGGGGTGTCTCCTAAATGAACCTGAACAAGGAGGCACAGGTTCTAACATAATTCATGAAGAGAATGTTACCACAAACAGCCAGAAGAGGATAAAACTGCAGTCACCTTGAACATGTGTTGTCTTGCTTTTATATCTGGAAGAGGAATGTATATCCTCTTATCAAATCGTCGTCGGATTGCCTGTCGAAAAAACAAAGCATGAATTAAACATATAATCAAAATGGGTATACAGTTATATTTTGAACTAATTATTCCTCACCTGATCAAGAGCATATGGAGTGTTTGTGGCTGCAAGGACAAGAACTTTATCATCATTATGTCCAACCCCCTATAAATATGATGTGCATGAGATATAAGTATCAAATTAAATAATCTTTTAATTAGCACAAGAATGTCCCTAGCAGCACCAGACAAATAGAAGCTGATCCAGTTTGGTATAAGAGACAAAAAACCTCTCACTTTAAAAACATCGAATTGTATTACTCTCGTCCCTCTTCAGTCGTCAACTCCTCATACTTCCCTTTTACGTCCGTCCCAAAATTACCCCTACTTTCCTTGAAAGGAAAGCATAGTGATTGAGATTGTTTCTCTTCCTTAGATAAATCTCAACACCATATTTATTTTCTCGAAAAGCAAGCCAAGCCATAGTACGAAACAGACGAGGGATATAATGAGTAATCCCAAAATAAGGTTCCTAGGTTCCTTTGTAGGTTGTCCCAAAATAAGGTTCCTGTTTCTAAAAAAGAAACTACTACGTATTTTATATGAAATGACAAGATTGCCCTTGATACTCTTCCCATTTGATACTCTTGTATCCTTCGACAAGCATAGTAAATTACTGTCCTCTGGTTTCTATTTATCACCTCTAACCAAGCTTCCATTTTATACTCAACAACCAAGCTTTATCATTTGTTGCACTCTTCCCCAAGAAGCGACAACTCCTCTGGTTTCTCTACTAGGCGGCAGAAACGACTTTCATGGCAGTGCATCTTCTGGCAGTGGAGGGCAGCAATGGTGATGAACGGATCTGTTTGATTTTTTTAAAGATGGTGTTGGGTCCGAGCCATTCTCTCAAAGATAATGTTTGGTTTGGTGGATTTCATGATGGTGGTGTCAAATTTGGAGATTTAAGCACATGGCAGGCGATGACGTCCCTGGGTAGCAATTTTATTGATTTTGACTCTACTGCATTCCAATGTTGTTTCATTCTTGTTGGTTTGTTTGTACGCAGATTGAAAAACTCAAATTCTACATTTCTCCTTTCTGTGGCAGTGTGGCCGGTTGAAACACAGAGTATATAGCTCCAGCAAAAATTATTTTTAATAGTCGGATCTCATTATCTCAGGGACAGTAAGTCTCAAAATCCCGGTGGTGACCATACCGTAGTGGTGGTTCCGTGGTTATGAGGGATATAACAGAAATTTTGTCTGCGGCTGCAATGGAATAGGATTGAGCATCAGATCTGACTGATGATGAAATGTAGTATGAAAATGAAAGTAATGGAGGGTATATTGGGAAAGTCAACAAGTTTTTTGCCTCACCATGATCTCCATGCCCGGTCAAGCTAGGAACATTAATTCAAGACGGAGGGAGTACTAATAACAGTAAAATCTAGCAGGAACAATTTGTGTTCATACTTTGGATTTTGTAACATGATTAAAAACACAACGTAGGAACTTTGTATGGAACACTATACCCTTTTTTCTTGATAAATGCAATCTTAACCCATCAAGAGAAGTGTGGATTTGAAATAATAAACCTCTCTGCATTTCTTTTTCCCCAATTTTGGGAACAGTGGGTTTTTTGGCATCAGTTACCTGCATCTGCACAAGCAGTTCTGTTTTAATGCGTCTTGAAGCTTCACTCTCATTTCCTTCTCCACGCTGCCCACACAAGGAATCAATTTCATCTATGAATATAATAGAAGGAGCACTTTCACGCGCCATTTCAAAAAGATTAGAGACAAGCTTTTCACTTTCCCCCATCCACTTCGAAACAAGGTCTGATGATGATACACTGCACCATAAGATATATTTGTTTATAGTCTAAGTTGTTTGAGCATGTAAAAATAATCTGATATCATATGTATGCATGCAACAACATAAATAACCCAGCTTTAGTCCCAAATCATTGGGGATAAGTATGGATATATGGGCAAAATGATGCTTGAATGAATCATGCCTAACCATGAACATATTCACATGAGGCGACTTGTAAATGGACATTGGTCAATATTTAATTACAGAGTTACAGAAGAGAATCAGCATATAGCTCAAAAGTCTTCCAGACCTCAAATTACCGTATTCCATAGTTTCATAGGCAAAGAGATTAAATAATTCACCAAGGGGTGCATATCAGATACAGGTAAAAGAACCAAGCCAACCCACAAAGATTCTCACAAATGATCCCAATTCACATAACTATTGGACAAAGTGCAAATGCACAGAAACAAAACTAGTAAAGTTAGATGACTTGAGAAAGAAGGTTATCATGTGTTATTGACAAGCTTATAACATTATACTGCGAAGTGATACGTCCTAACCTCAAATTCTTATTTCATATATTAGCCCCACCACACCCAGACAATCTATGTAGTAGAATAGAAAACAAGTCAACAGCCTAGAAAAGTCTGCAATATACAGAGATACCAGCATCAGAAAAAGAAAAAGTATGCTCAAAGTTTTGATAGGTGCAATAGGGATAAAAGGCTCTCAAGACTGCTTGAGGAGGACTTTATAGGATTTATTTATTGCTGATAGGATATGTTTTGACAACTGGACTAGATACCACTTTTAGGTTGCACATAAGAGGGACATATGCCTGAAAAATGTTGACTCTGCTTCAGTAGCAACAGCCTTCGCTAAGTAGGACTTCCCAGTTCCAGGAGGGCCATATAAAAGAAAAGCTCTCCATGGCCGTCTCTTGCCTGTAACGAGAAAAGGGGAGAAATAACATGCAGATACTGATGCACAATAGAACATATGAAAATACATATACAAATAATCAAAATGTGATAATTTTTATCAAGGGATGCTGTACCCAACACGACTTTTCTTCTATCATAAATGCAAACACATATACAAATTGTAAATAGTATATACATGCACTTATATATACACATACATATGTATTGCATTAGTAGTGCGGGTGATGTATACACACAAACACACACTACTAATGCAAAATAAATTATCAAATAGACTGCTTTCCCCTTACTTTTTTTTTCATTTCAATGGGGCAGATGCATACGATAAATTAAGCCAATGTTGTAAAAATAAAAGGCATAAATGAGGCATTTTGCTTTTCCGAGACAATGTGTAAGCCTCAAGGCAGTTCAAGGTGTAAGTCTCAACTCAAAGACTAGATACTACATTTAAACAAACAATCTAAAAAAAGTAAAACAAATGGATGATAACAATTAAACTAAAACACACTTGAATGCATCCCGTCAATGGTTTTCAAGTTTTAAAACATATAGCTTCAGTCAAATCAATTCTTAAAGCATAAATAGCTTGTTATGAAATATGATTATTAAAATCGTGTGTGTATCTGTGTCGTTTTGAGGAGAAACTCAAAAGAGCCCATGTGGACACACTTTAATGTGCCTAAATCACCATTGTAGAGAAAAAGCTAAAGGATCTATTTGGACTCTGTGTGCCATTAATGAGACCTACATGACTTTAATTCCATATTTGGTAATGTGGTCACCTTAAACTAATTAAAGATCAACAAGAAATATTTTTAAATAATAAAAAAAAGCTGTAAGCCTAAGATAGCCTCATCGTCTTAAAATTTGAGGTGTACACCTCAGCCTTAAGAGGCATAAGCCTCAGAAAAGTATAAGTCTCGAGGAATTTCCCTTTTCCTATTCGACCTGAGTGATTTTTGCAACATTCAATAAGGACCAAAGAAATGAAGCACGGGCACTTTTAAAATGATGAAATATGCACATTAGGCACACTTGGGACATTCCTTCCATCATCTCCAATGGAACCAAAGGTTCAATATTTCTTTTGCTTTAGGTATGACGGAAGAAAGCAAAATGACTCTTTAAACTATCTGTACTTCTTTCAATAGTGAAGTAGCAATTGGTCAATGCAACTTTCGACACTCATCAAGGGACATCTAGAAACAGCCGCTCATGTTTTAAATGTAGGGGCGGGAGCCTTTTAAGCGTTGAGGTAATGTTGTTGTAGGCACACTCGGGGCATGCCTAAAATGAATATCCATTTTTTCCTAAAATGAGGCCATTAGAAGACATTTCTTGGATGACATTTTGGGAGTGGAGTCTTCTTTAAACAGCTCTTAGCTTATTGAACCATAGTATTAAAAATCAAAACCGTGGATCCCTCTCTCCTGTTTCAATCTTAGATGTCTTCCGAATAAAAAAATCAACCTGAGCTCTCTTTAAGCATTTAAATCACAATTCTTTTACAAACAAAAAGTATAAGAAGGTGTGCGGAATAATGATTACAGACAACCAAGTAGGTTCTGACTTGATCCAATGGTATTATGAGAACAATTAGTTCTGTTTGGGATTCTAGTTTGAACACTTTATATAATTGATGTACGTCCCATTTGAACTGATCAATTACATAAACCAGATTAGTTTGCAACAAAGAGCAATGGGCTAGCATCTTGTGAAGTCCTAGAATCTGTAACTAAAGAATATGTGCTCTGTATGTGATCAGTCACATCAAGTCCCTTGAGCACGGAAATGAGGGGATTATATTTGAATATGTGATGAATATATGGGGAACTGCATCTTCTTCTCCTCCTCTGGAGACCAAACACTATTTTTACAGAGATGTGTCCTTTAAATGATTTTTTTTGCGCAGCACTATAGCAATTGAGAAAATAGTAAAACCCTGAACCTGCTTGAAAGCAAGAAAAGTCAATAAGATAAGTAAAAGAAACCGTTGAATTTAAAGATAGGTAAAGATGTCGTCACCAGAGGTGGTTCGGTGACTGGTGACAGTCATGAGGGAAGGAATGAACCTACAAGCATTTGCGAGATAAGCTTCTTACTAAAATATGATGACTTGAGTGCTAATTGGAATCAAATGCTCGCGATGTGTTCCAAATGTCCAAAGTGCAAAAATGCTTTCTTGGTAACCATGATAACACGATTCGATATAATACTACTCCGTACTTTTTATCTTAAAATTTTAAAGTATGCGTAGGAAAATGACTTACTAAATCACTAAACCTATGACCTATCTTTATCATCCAATATAATTCAAAGTACACAAGCCTCTAAAGTGTGACTCCAAAATGGGATTGTAGGAGATGTTAGTCCAGTACACCAAAGCTACAAATAAAGGTATTTGCTACTCCCAATAACCTCTACACATTTGACTTGCTCAAGCAGCTGAGATAGCATCTACACCCGAGAACACAAGAGGTGCTGTAATAGTGTAATACATCTCCTAACCAGCTGGCCAAAACCAAAATTTTCTCAAAGCAAAACCATAACATAATCACATAACTCATTTGCATCTTGAGGAAGTTAATCACCAATAGCTTGGGCAAATTTTCCTTGTATCTAAAGCGGAGTTATTTCATAGTACAAAATAAGAAAACCAGTATAAATAAATACGAATAAAGCACTCAACTTTATCAGCAAAATGTGGCTGCCTAAAGGCATATAATCAAATGAAGCATGCTAAGATTAAGCATGGAGCTTTATAAGGCCTCACCAGTGAAAAATTGGGGAAACTTGACTGGTAAAATCACAGCCTCCTGCAAGGCCTGCTTGGCGCTCTCAAGCCCAGCAACATCATTCCACTTGACATTAGGCTTCTCCCTAATGATAGCAGAATTCAATCCAGCCCGGAGCTTAGCTTGATCGGGATCCTCCCCATCATCACCATCCTTGGGTTTGTCCTTCGGCTTCGAGGCCACAGCAGCATCCCCTCCGTTGGAAGCTGGTCCTGCGCCACCCTCGTCTAAGACGGCCCCGATCTCCTCTGCCCGGCGCAGGTACTCAGTGAACTTCTGGGTGATTGCCTCCTTGATCTTAGGGTTCTTCTCGTACTTGAGGTGGGTCTTGAAGTATTCCAGAGCATTCATGTACAGCGGGAAGGCCTTGGCATAGTTACCCGCATTGTCTTCTTGCACTGCTTGCCTCACGTATTCGATCGCTTGCTCTTTGAAATTACTATACATCCTCGAGACCTCGACTATACAAATAGACACATGAATCGATACAGTGTGCAATTTGAAACCCTAGTTATCGAGATCAGTGCAGGGGAGAGAGAGCTGTCTTAAAGAATAATTGAATGAAAATGCGATTCCATGAATGTTTGGGGCAAAGGTCAGAAGATGATCCGATTTTGAATGTGTTATGTTAGATGTAATGTTTACTCAGTGGCTAAAGAGCCCCACCCCTACTTGGGTTTATTTTAACATTATTCAGGGTATTTTAATTATTAAAAATTATTTTATTTATTTTTTTAATAAAAATAAATATACTTCTTTAAAAAAAATCTTCTTCTACTAATAAATAAATTAAAAAAATTAAAGGGGGAGATGTACCACCTGCCATGCTTGGCATGGTTGAATGCAAGTCCGACACGAGGCAAAAGGAAAAATGGGCTGACATGGCAGGCATGGCAATGAGAAAGTCACGTCATTGCCAATGCTCTTAAGTTGCAGTTGCTCACTACCCACTAGCACTATATCAGGTAACTTGTTATTCAGGTTTTATACTTGTCATTGTGACAACCATTTAGGCATTTGGATTATTTCAAATATTGTGGTTAGATATGATGGCATTAGCTACTGAGTGGGTAGTGTGTGAAGGCTGTGTGTTTAAATGATCTTGGGAGTTATGTGTTTTTTTGTTATTGAATTGATTAATTATTACACTATCTCCTTGCAATTATTTATTATTATTATAGTGATGATTTTTATTACTTTTAATTGTTTTTTTTGCATTTTTGCAGTTTGTAATATCAATTTACACATCATTGTATTTAGACAAATTGCCATCAATACTATTAAACAAATATTATTACTAATTACTACATATGAATTCAATATACAATAGAACAAAAATTCATAGCAAAAGTTACACAATTTACCTAGTTAATTATCTAACCCAATTAACTACCTGATCTACTAAAATTATCTAGCATTCCTGCCTAAAAAATAATGTAACTTTTGTATGTAGTAGAGATGGCACAAAGCACAAGGGCTATTAAAAACATTTGATTAGAAGTAGAATTTGTGAATTTGTGGTCATATGATTTTATTAAGATCTATTATAGTCTAATATGATTGTACTTATATTTAAAGTTACTTTTTATTCGATTTTAATAAAAATAAGAAAAAAAGTTTAAGTTGAAGAGAACAAGCTCCTACTAATGAAACCACGCCCCAAGAGGGTGTTATGCGTCATTTGGCAACCACCTCAATACGGGGCTCATGACAAAAATCGACTTAATTCCCAATGAGTGAAGGGAACACTCCCAATCAGAATTTTTTGTGGTTTATGAGGAGAAATATCTCACTTTTTGAAATGAGTTTATTTACAAAATGGTATATTGATAAAAATTAAAAATTACATATTAAAAAACTACGTCAAAAGTTCTACAAAACAAGAGGTGACAAGAATATTTTATTTTATCAAATACTTAATGAAATTGCGTAAACAAACAAAAGTTATCGAGAAAAGAGAGAAAAATTGCAATCTAATTGGGGACGGAGGGAGTATATATACGGATATACCCTTATCTTTATGAATTATCAACCACCCAATTCTACCTAACACTAAAAAAACCTACAACCATTCAAATCTCACTTAAAAGTAAAAAAATCATGCACCCTCAAACCCCACCTTACAATAAAAAATAACTCAACCATCAAATCTCACTTTATAATAAATTGAGTTTTTTAAGAATTTTAAGAAGTTTTTAAAATTTGTTAGATGTGTCTTAAATTCCATGCTAGTGAATGTTTTTCTTTTAAATACTAGATTCACTGCCCGTGCGATGCACAGACTAGTTTAGTATAAATACTGTTGTAAGTCTTAAAGAAAGAGATCTGATTTCTTCTCTCTAAAACCCGTGTGAAAACTCTCGTGTATCTCCTATATTCTTAATATTAATTGGGTTACATGTGTTTCCACCTACAGTTCTCCCGGTCACCTTGTGTGCTTTACCTTTTTACTTTTACGAATCCAATAAACAATCCTAGACTCAGACTAGTGTTGTTTACCCGGTTGGGTAATTTACACCATCAAGCATCATAATATTTTCCATTTAATTGTCATTTAATAACAGTTTTTTTATAAAGCTCTATTTAAGAAATACATCTCAATTATAAAAGATCAAATTAGTAATTTTTAAAAAATACCTTATTAGAATTAAATATTTTGAGAATTTACTCAAAAGATATAGTCATATTTGGTTAAAACAACTATTTGTAGAATAGTTTTTAAAAATTGAGTACTGTTAATGAAATACATTATAATTGAGGACTAAATAAAAAAAATACATAAAATTAAGAACTAGTTATAAAATTTACTCTTTAAAAAATTAGATTAACTATCATCTTTACGGAGTAAAAAGGAAAACGAGTAAGCCTACTTTAGGGAGTAAAAAAAGGAGTATATTTACGGAGTTTAATTTAAAAAGATGGAATACTTGAAGTGGGCTCCAATGTCAGGATTAATGGGATATGTCTCATGCCAACCTCACCATTTGGGAATGAATTTTCCCATTCTTCACTAATTGGTAAAAGACCCGACAAAAATCATGTGTGACAAAGCCCCATAACCTCCATTCTCATGATTACATGATACTTTTGTCTTTCTTTTTTTAATTTAAATTAAAAATAATAATAAATAAAAACATAAAATACTTTATTAAATAAAAAACATTAAAGATTTAATTATGAAATAAAAGAAAAAAGACATACAATATTTAATTTAAAAATGATTAACTATTTCATTGAAAAATCCATATATTACTTAATTTTAAAAAGATAAAATTACATGAATAGGAGAGAGATCATGTTTCATTTTAAAAGATAAAACCATAAAAATATACATTTGTTGAATTTTCTTTTGGATATTACTGTTAAAAACTGAATTGTGGTGGTTGGGGGGGTTGAATTTTTTTCTGGTTTGGAAATGGTGCACTAACAAATTTGCAGGAAGGGGACATCTTCTACATAGGGAGAGGGTTGTGGGTGGGTCACTTATAGAATAGCGGAAATTAAGTCATGAAAGGAATTTTTTGCGCAATGGTCCAAAAAATGTTTTTAATATTAGTAATTAAAAAGACGTTACTCAGTATTCTTTTGGTCTCGACATACTCAAAAAAATAAAACCTTTTTAGACAAAATTTGAAGGAGTTATTCCCCAAATATCTGAAGGGTATTTTTGTCTAGAGCGGTATTGATTTAGCAATATCAGAACTATGAGATACAACGACGTAAGTTTTGAAATCATAAGGGTAACAGTGTCTATTTACCAAACCACATGGGATGTTGGTGTAATAAACTCTATTTTTTTAACAATGCAATCTATACCGTAGTACTTTTTATAGTATACCAATTTGTAAATACAATAATTTTAGAAAGAATGAGATTTTGCATGTTCTTCAAAACGAAAAGTTTATTGTTCGACAGAGAAAGTAATTAAAATTGTAACAAAGGTAATACTATATTCGTCCATGAGTATTTGTACAATTTTTGACTTTTCTCGGTCAATCATTTTTAAGCTTTGACTTATAATTAAATAAAATATATATTAATTAGATAAAATAATATTTTGAAAATATTTCATATAATATGTAACGCCCTGCGACCCGGTCTATTAGAATTGATTAATTTAGTTAATTAATTACTAAATAGGACCGGGGTTGGGAAAATAAAAATCCTTAGAAAAATTATTTGATCATGTCATAATATTTGTCTTGACTGTCTCATTCCAGAAACGCAAACGGATCTCAGTTTGGACCCATTCGGGGAAAACCCGCGTACCGTCAAGTCAGATTTTACACAACGAAACGAATTAATGGGAGGTAACTCCCAATAACATCCACACGCCACCCCATCCCCTTAATTCCCCATCATCAATTCTATTTAATTCTCCATTCATTCCTTGATTTAAAAACCCCCACTCTCCCTTTCATTTCTCTAGCACATTGTAACCCCCAAGCTCTCAACACTCTCTCCCTCTCCCTCTTCCCTGTTCGGCCAAGGCAACAAGCAGACACAGAGTAGATTCCAGCGAGAAGGCGGGAGGTAGAAGAGAAGGAAGATCACGCAGGAGGTTCGTCCGTTTGTGGTCCGTCATTAGTGTCGTTCGTTCATTCCGTTGCTCACCGTCAACCCCTTTGTTAGAGGTGTGTACGTTGCCCTCTAACTTTAGAATTCGTAGTATAATCATATCGTTATATTCATAGGATTACCCGGCTAGACATACGTGTGTCCGCATTATCATGGTTATTCGTTATCTAGACTTTTCGATTATAACCTTGTTAATATGAACGTTTGGTAATTCATAATTTCATAGCTTATTCAAAGTGGAAACAAAAACGTTCGTCCCTATAACTTCTGACGTAAAGACTATGTTCAAACTGGCTAAACGTGGATCTGCGAGCCATGATAATCGATTTACATAGCCGGTCAATCGATTACCAGGCTGCGCTGAACTACCCGTTAGAACCAGCAGAACGTGATAATCGATTATCACATATGTGATAATCGACTATCAGGCCCTGCGGATTATCAAGTCTGGGCTGGTCTTACTGATAATCGATTATCACATAGCTATAATCGATTATCAGGCATCTCTGAACTTGGGTGTCCTAGCAAAATACCTTGACAATCGATTGTCATGAAGTGACAATCGACTATCATGGCCTGCGGAACTTGGGAACAGAAACTGCACAGCATGATAATCGATTGTCAACAATGGTTAATCGATTATCAGCCAGTTCTGAACCCGGGTCCCCATGTTGAACAAGTTGTTTTCACATGGAATCAAACATATTTGTATGTGTTGAATATAACTTCATTCTCCAATCAATGCATTCATACCATCATGTATATTCTAGATGCATGTCTAGGATCATGGCATACGTTGCATACCACGGCAAGGGGTCAGGCTCAGTGCGCCTCTTCCGTGGGCCCGTTAGGAACCTGCGGGATCCAACATGTTTCCATCACGAGGGCTTGTGTATGTACATGGTAGCTAGGCTTAGCTATCACCCACATTTCTAGTCTCCATTGGGATGACTAAGGCGTTCTTCGGCTCATCTACCGCGTGGGGATGATCACTGAAGGGCAGGGGGCCCCTGCGCAGTCTAACTCATGCATCA